CCAGCTCTTCCTCCAGTTTCCTTCTCCTCAATAGAAGCAGGATCTAAATTGAACCTGGTTATCATGATCTTATAAAGGGTATAAGGGCACTGGCCAGGGCTGGCTCTAGGTTTTTTTCCACCCCAAGCAAAAAAATATTTGGCTGCCCCCCCGCTTTTTTTTTGTGTGTGGCTTTTACAGGTTTGCACTTTGCAATGGTTTTTTTTTTTTGGCTCCCCTGGTGTGGAGTCTGGAGCGATTCCACTTGCCCCCCAACCCAAGCAAACAGGAGCCCCCTTGTTCCCTTTCTGTCTCTCTTGAAGCTTCGCTCTGTGCTGGGAGGCAGGGGGTGAGGGTACTCTGGAAGGAGGGGGAGAAGTGATGTGCCTGGGTCAGGGGCTGGGATTCTGGATTGGGGTGCGCCTGGGGCAGAGGGCAGGAACCTGGCCAGGCAGAGCAGCAGCTGGGGGTGGGTCTCCGGGCGCACCGCAGGGGGTGGGGGCAGTGGCGGGAGCTCCCTTAATAGGCGGCGGCGGGGTGCAGTGCGGGGCCATAGAGGACGCAGCTGTGGACCCACTGGGCAGCGAGCCCTACTATTACTATGGGGAGGCGAACAAGAGCGGACTGGGAGGTTTCCTTCTCACTGCTGCCCATGCTCTACATGCTGGTCTTCGTGCTGGGGCTGTCAGGCAACGGGTTGGTGATGTTCACCGTGTGGCGGGGCCACGGGCCAAGCGCCGCTCCGCCGACACCTACATCAGCAACCTGGGGCTGGCTGACCTGGCCTTTGCGGTGACCCTGCCGCTGTGGGCCGCCTACACGGCGCTATGCTTCCACTGGCCCTTCGGCTCGGCGCTGTCCAAGCTCAGCAGCTACCTGGTGCTGCTCAACATGTTCGCCTCCGCCTTCTGCCTGGACTGCCTCAGCTTCGAGCGCTCCCTGGCCATCGTGCGCTCGCTGCCGCGCTCCCGGCCCGGGCACCCCCGCGCCGCTCTCGCTGCCCGCGCTCTGGCTGCTGGCCCTGCCCGCCCTGCTGCTGCGCGACACGCAGCCCAGCCCGGCCCACAACCGGAATGCCGCCCCTGGAAATGTGCCGCCTCAAGCACGTGCTTGCTTTGCTGGTGCCTAGAGACGGACCTGGCACGGGCTATGTCTGCAGGAGACCCCATCTCCCATTAAGCCAGGCCTGGTGATGGGCAATTTGGCCTAACAGAGTCTGTCCTCCATCTACAATGTTTTGGAATTTATTGTGGGATAAATGGTTTGATGCTTGGCAACTGAAGTGCTGACTTCAACATACTTACTAATCATCACTTCATTAACTCCCAGCATAACACGAAGAGCCATTCTCCTTTTTAATGTCCGTTTGTTTGTTCAAATGGTCATGCACAACAGCTCCTAGTTGTTTGTGGAGGAGGAGGGAGTGACAGAAGGGGAATTAATTATTCCACTGTTCTATAATTTGATACATCTGATGATCAGGACCTTAACTAACACACAGTGTTACTTCAGGCTATTTAGATTTGTTCAATTGCTTTCTATCTTCCCAAGCAAATTGAATGGGCTGATCTCATGACATTCTCCTTCTAGCCAGGTTTTTTACCAATTGGATTGTTTATTTCCACTGGAAGCTTCCAAGCCAGTCTCCTTTAGGCACTTCGCAAGGATTATTTCAGTGCTGAAGTGGAATGGTTCGCTCCAGCTGAGATATAAACAGTAATGCTTTCAAAACATCACTTTTTAGAATGATGTGGAGTTCCCTGAGGTCCTTGGGGATATTAAGTGCACTAAGAGGCTACAAAAACACAAACAGGTTATGAGCACGCTTTTGGATACAGGAAGTAATTTGTGCTCCATAAATATCAAAGGGGTAATGGAAGAGACCTGATTTTAAGTATTATTGACAAATATGCAAGAGGCAGGCTTGAGTCATGTATTTTGAAGTTAATCTAATGTACACTTTGAGGAAAACTTGACTCATCTTGGGTGGGTAGGGGAAAAAAACCCAAAATATTTATTTTCTCTGTCCAATGAGAGTAATGAACTGCAGATACAAATCCTCTGCCCGTGTAGATCAAAGGAAATGCACTGAAGTAGCTGACCTTTAGGATCTGGCCTTTGAGGTGTGGCTAATCAGCATAGCTATCTTCAAGGCTGATTTGAGCAAGTGAGAATCGATATAGGCTGGGAACTCGATGTATTTATACAGTTCCCTGAAATCCAATCATGGCTTTCCCATAAGACTAGCAGCCCCAGTCACTCAGGGCCTGTGAGGACAGAAGCTAAACTGCGTCATGTAGGCCTTATCCTGAGCACCTGGGAATTTGGAGAGGGGCAGAGCCTCAGATGGTCCAGTCCCTCTCCCAGAGTGCAGGGGGAGCAGCGGGTAAAGTCAAGTGAAACAAGAGGTGAAGTTGTCACTGAACCAGGCAGAGAGCAGGGAGAGCTCTCCATGTAGGGGGAGCTGTGCTCCACTCCCCCAGGGGGGAATGAACAAAATGTGAAGCCTTTTGATGGAAAGGTTCCAGTTGCTCGCCTTAGCTGGCCCAAGAGTCAAGGCAAAGGGGGTGGCCTCCCCTCTTCATCCCCTTTGAGGCAATTTATGCCCCTGGGGACACTTAGCAGGAGCCATTCGCAGCCTCTCCCAAGCAGACCTGCCGTCCTCGCTTGCCCTTGCAGGGGATAGGTTCTTGTGCATTTCCCTGCACACCACTGCTAGGGCCAGAGCTAATCACTATTATTAATTACTTACTACTAGCAGTAGTATTACCATAGAGCCTAGCCCTCTCAGTCATGGAGTGGGACCCCATCATGCTAAATGCTGTGCAAACACAGAACAAAAAGGAAGCCCCCACCTCCAATCAGTCCTACTCTGCAGATTTTTAATTCTTTGGTTGGGTTTATTTTTCACTATTGCCAGGTTGGGCCTCAGAGTAGGCCTGATTAATTCTTTTAAGCAAAAACAAACTTACAACACAGAAGAAATATATTTCCCTGCCCAGGAAACATTGCCTTATTAGGCTGGGTTCTGGCTACCACTACTTCCTCAAATAGGACCTGGCTGTTTCCCCTACAAGGAAGAGAATCATAGAATGTCAGGGTTGGAAAGGACCTCAGGAGATCATCTAGTCCAACCCCCTGCTCAAAGCAGGGCCAATCCCCAGACAGATTTTTACCCCAGTTCCCTAAATGGCCCCCTCAAGGATTGAGCTCATAACCCTGGGTTTAACAGGCCAATGCTCAAACCACTGAGCTATCCCTCCCCCCAAGAGAAGCCTTCCATCTAGGAAAAGTCTTTTCTTCCTGCTACAGCTTGTTTCTCATCCCTCCTCCCTCTGGCACCAGAAGAGGGGTTTTTAAAAGTCACCAGCAGCCCTTAATTGGACTCAGGTGTCTCTAATTAACCACCTTCCACCACTCTCTTATAGCTGTCAGGTCTGACTTTGTTACGCTGTTTATAATAAGCATCCAGACTGGGAGCAGCAACAATTCCCCCAGAACTTAGGTGATCAACCGTGTGCTGAATTATCAACATCAACTGTTTAAGTGAATATTTACAGAAATATTTTGTGAGTAATCCACCATTCAAATGTGCTGCTGCAAAATAATTGTAACTAGCAAACACCATTCGTAAAAATCACAATCTGTTTGTGGATAAGTTGTGAAAAGAGGGGGAGAACAGGATCAATTTGCACCATAGATTATTCATTTTGGATTGTTTGCCTAGCAAATTGTTCAGTTCAACAGATGCCCTTATTTCATCCCCCAGTATCACACAACGCGTTTCAACACTAGTCACCCTTCATTCTGAAATCTATCCTGTTGGCCTCCGCTGTACTGTACTAGTGTATGGACATCTCACGTTTCCCTTTCACCCTTTTTCCAAACCACAGATGATTACTGTGCAGAATGCATCTGTTTCCGCTTTCATACATTGCAATCAAACATTCCCATTAAACATTCTGACTGAGAAACAAAACAAGTCTATATACCAATAGGTTGTCTTGCTTTCCTAATCTCCTTCTCTTACAACACATTGGTCCAGTATACTAAACAACCATGCATGGTGTGGTTTTAGACACAATGCTAGTCAAAAAGGTGTCATGGGATATAGTGAGATCCATTCCATCAGGAAATGATAAGAAATGACAGGACCAGGTACATGTCCAAATGACTTTACTGGTGTGCTGATGGGTCCAGTTTACCAAAATACTTAAGTATGCTTGTAACTTTAAGCCCATGCATTGTCCCATTGAAGTCAATTGGTTAGTTAAAATTATGCACATGCTTAAGTATCTTGCTGAATCTGGGCATAAATTAGCAGTGCCGGCATCCATCCAATCCATTTGGGGGAATAAGGAGGAGCAGTGAGCTTCCTCCCCTTCCTCATCTGGTCTCACCGCCGGAGGGGGATGATCAGCCCAGCCTCTTAGCTACCAACTTAGACCAGGACAAGGATATGCAAGTACATGTATCTAATGTCACTCTGATGGAGATGAGTTTAATATAATTTGGGGACTTTTCCAACCAGTTCAAACGATGTTGATACTCTTCTGTTTTGTAGAACTGTGCATACAATCCAGAGGTGGGTATTCTACTCGTTATGCACAAGGGATTGACTCACTGAACTCTGATGAATAAGTTATGTACATCAGAGGCTATCTTAGAGCTGGCACCTTAGGAATCTAGATGGAGGAGCATCTAGATGGTGCATGTCACTGACAATTTGCTAACATGGATAATGTGCTAGCTAGCTATCCAACATCTACATAAAGTACTCATATGGCCCCATTCCCATAGCATCTGAGCCTCTCACAGTCTAATGTATTTATTCCTACAACACCTCTGTGAGCTAGGGCAGTGCTATTATCCCCATTTTACAGATGGAGAATTGAGGCCTGGAGAAGCTAAGGCCTGGTCTACATTTAAAAGTTTTGCCGGCATAGCTATATTGGTTAGGGGGGTGATTTTTGCTGATTTATGCTGGCAGAAACCTTAGTGTAGTCTATACCAGCAAAAAAAGTCCTGCGGTATAAGCTATACCAGCAAAAGGACTCTTTTTGTCAATAGTAACTCAGTCTACACTAAAAGGATTGGCCGGTATAGCTATAGGGTCTGGGCCTTTCCCAAGGTCACACAGGAAGTCTATGTTGGAGCAGAGAACTTAAATTTGAGTCTCCTGAGTCCCAGGCTAGCACCCTGCCAACTGAACCTGGATGAAAAAAATCTATATTCGGGGGCCTAATTTTAGGCCCCCCCAGGTCTGAAAATATTAGCCTTTGCTCTTAATGTCTCTGTTTCTCAGTGTCCCCATCTGTGAAATGGAGGCAACAATATCTGGCTGCCAGGACTGTTGGGATGATTAAGGTTTGTGAAGCCCTTGGAGGTTCTCAGCGAAAAGGCATTATAGTAAGTGACAAGTCATTGTACTATTGTTGTTGTTATTGTTGTCAAAGTTAATAATCCGTTACTGTTACATTGTACTATTGTTGTTATTGTTGTCAAAGTTAATAATCCGTTACTGTTACATTGTACTATTGTTGTTATTGTTGTCAAAGTTAATAATCCGTTACTGTTAAAAGTGTGTTTGACCTTAGCTGTTACTCCCTTCTCACAACCCCACCCAAACCACAGTAGGTTACAGAATTGGATCCATCTGCTTCCTGTTTCTTAAATTGTGATTGCACATTCCTACCAAACATTCTCACTTGCCATTTATGAGCAAATGATTATATTCACAAGTAGCTTGTTTGTCCTAATGTATTTCATTCCTTTGTATTGCATTGGCCAATGACAGTGATCAACTCCACTTGAACTCAGTTTCCCAATGTGGTAGGTTAGAATGCTGCTGAAAAAAACACAATTTGGAGAAGTTTTTATGTTCCTTCTTTTTCCTTACTGCTGTTAACAGAAATCAGAGCTCAGACTAATTCCAATTCTTTAATTCATGCCCTCTCTTTTAATAATCACTCTCTAATATGATACTCAGTAATTAATAATTTAAACAAAGTCCAACATGAATAAACTGCCCACATTACAGAACACAGCCGCTAGGCAGACTTGGCACAAATGTTGATCAATACATTATGATTGTTGTTAATGGACTTGTATTGCATTAGCACTTAGAGGCCCTTGTCCAGGGTAGACTTATGCATGTGCTTAACTGCTTTGCTAAATTGGGGCTTAGAAGTGAAATCCTGGCCTATTGAAGTGAATGGTAAAACTCCCATTGACTTCAACAGAGGCAGGACTTCATCCTACATTTCTCTAGCACCCTATTAAACTTTCCACAAGAGAGTTTTACACACTCACAAAATGAAGGGTCTTTAAGATTCACTCTAAAAGTTGCTTTCCTTTGGAGATATTGCTGTTTATGATGTTTCTGCAGACATATAACAATCAAACTCTCAGTCCTAAATGAGTTGCATTTAATTCAATATGGCAGCTGCCTCCAGCAGACTTCTACAAGTGCGAAGGTGCAGTACACAGAAATAAAAGGCCCTGATCATGCACGCGCTTAACTTTAAGCATATGACTACTTCCACTGAAGTCAAGACTATTCCTGTGTGTAAAGTTAAGCATGTGCTTAACACTTAGGGGAGAAAAACCAAATGCCCAAATACAAAATGGGGGGAAACTGGTTTGGCAGCAGCACTGCTGGGATGGATCTGGGAGTTGTGGTGGATCACAACCTCAACATGAATCAGCAATGCGATGCTGTTGCAAAAAAAGCAAATGCCATTTTAGGTTGCATTGATGGAGGCATAGCATAATTTTAGGTTTCATTAACAGAGGCATAGCATACACGTCTTATTATGTATTAGTGCCTGCCGGTGGTGCATTACAAACAGATGAGAAAAAAGGTTCTTGTCTTGAGAAGCTTATAACATAAGGGCCTGTCCCTGCAGCACTTACACATGTGAGTAACCTTTACTTATGCAAATAAACTGTACTTACTATCAGGGCCGGCTCTAACTTTTTTGCCACCCCAGGCAAAAAAGAAGAGCGCCGCCCCACAGTACAGCCCCCCGCGAGCGCCACCGAAATCCCCGCCCCCAGCACCACGGCCCCCGAAGCCCCGCCCCCTCCAAGCGCCATGCCACCTGAAGCCCACGCCCCCCCCAAGACCCCGCCCCCGCCGAGCACCACGCTGCCCGAAGCCCCGCCCCCGCCGAGCATCACGCCACCTGAAGCCCCGCCCTCCTCCAAGAACCACGCTGCCCGAAGCCCCCGCTCCCCCAAGCAACGCCCGAAGCCCCCACCCCCCTCCAAGCACCGCGCCGCCCA